ATGTTGACGGTGGCGAGGGCAGTTGTTGGTCCTACAGTAAACAACTTAGACCGTACGACTAGGCATCAATAATGGTCAAATCTGGTCAACTGCATAAGCGCAACTATTTCACGGAACTCCTGGATAGCTTCCTAGCGGCGGGCGAGTCTAAAGGCTTCGGCTCCTTGTGCACCTGCATACTAGGTACGGCACCGGCGCCCATTTCTGGGTCGCAGCAGGCCCGGACCTGCTTGGGCGTATGTGATTGAGCATGATATCATGAAATGTTCCAATCATGATGAGGGGCGTCGCAAATCTACGAAGAAGGGCCTGCGCCTCGACCGATCCGATACTTGGCGACTGAGAGTGTGCTGCACAGTCAAGGAACAGGCTAGTATGTGATCAGAGCGATGTGTAATATTCGCAAAATGACACATCGCAAAACGATATTGCAAAAGTATGGTTGGAACTGTTTAAAAAAAAAAAATACGGGGGAGGCATATTTGAAAGCCCCGGTGCAGACCCGGTGGGCAGAGATGTTGTCGCATGCTTGAAGTAGTCGTGTCAGATGAAGCGCCAGGCGCTGCGTCAATATCGTTTGTCGTTGCAAACTCGCCTCTTCATTCTCCACTTCTCCTTTGAGCTTGCTCCCCAAAAGGTGGACTGGCAGCTGGCGCGCTGGGACAGACCCTGTGGCTAGTTAGCAAGGGGATGCACTCTTCCGGGAGATACATGTGACAGGAGGTGTTGGTGGGTGTCGACAAGCAGGGGTTGACCTTCTTTGGGGAAGAAACATTCCTTTTGCAGAAGTGACAAGTCGTGGCTAGTTTCTTTTTTGCCAGCGTAGGGGCGGCCGGGCTTCTTTGGTTCCGCAACGATGATAAACGACGCCGGCACTGATTCAGACTTTGGGGGCCAGCATTTCTATGAATTTTCAAAACAGGGCAAATGGCCGCGGCCGGCTGAGGCAAAGCTCGCAGGGAGACTCATAGACGTATGGCGAGGGGTGTACGTTGGTTGGGGGAGATGCATGGGTGGCATCCTATACCGGTATCAATTAGCTGTCAAGTAGCGGCAGAGCCAACTTGCGATGACGGAACGGTCGAAACGAACAAGAACCCGAAAGTATGGGCTGCAAGAGGCCAACGCCAAGATAAGCGATGTATTCGTCAGTATTACACGGACAATACGACTACGACTGCGATGTACTTTCCTTCTCTGGGAGTGATTCAGCTTTCTGGATCTCTCGTTTTGCTGCTCGTCGCACAGGCCGCTAGGCAGCTGGAGCAGATATCAGGCCGACTTAGACCGGGCTTCCTTCGATGATGAATCGGCGGAGCGCACAGCTGGTCTAGCCTTGGGCCGCGTGAAGCTACATATCAGCTTTGGAGGCCGCATCAAGACCATATCAAAACCAAGACGTGATGTTGGTTGTCTGAAGCCAAGAATTTCCATGGAATTTCGGAGTGGCTTGACGCTTGACAGGCCACAGACGACGCCCCAAAAAAGCCCACAGACACGAAGACCAAGACGGCGCCGAGATGGGACACGGACTCTGGGAGGAAAGGGGAAAAAAAAAGAACGGATCAAAAGCTACGTATCCTTGCCTTGGTCTGGCTACTTGCATGGCGGCGACGACAGGCTTGCGCTTTGCATCTGCACTGACATCGGTCGTTCAGCTGGGATTTTGCGGGTTCCGACGGCTCCCATTCGCCTGGCCCTCTCGGATTCTGTCATTCAGCATATGCAGGTCGCAGCACAGCCCTCGTCTTTGCGTCCGTCTCTCTTTTTTTTTCCCCCCTCAATGTGCCTCCCATGCTAACCTCGCATTTCCGTTCTCTGTGCTTCGTCTCGCTCGTGCCGGAAGTATCTTTTTTAGACTCTTTTTGGAGTATGCATAGTGCTTTCTAATTCCAGGAAGACGGAGCATTCAAAGAAAGCGCTTTCTTTTCCCTCCGCCCTGGCCCGTGAGCGCCTGCCGAACCTGCCGCGGCTGTTCGTTCCGGGGATTTGAGGCCGAGGAATACCGACCGGCGGCAAGTAAGACGAGGGAGGCGACTTGTATTCTGTACATGGCATGACACTCGAAGATTCAGCCTCTGGGTCTCTGCTACGGAAGTCTGTTCACACCCAAAGACAGATCTACCGGAGCATTGCGTCGCCCGCGTACTCGGACCCATACAGAGGCCCTTGTTGCCCTATATCTTCTGTCTTCATGACAATCTCACCTAACCATCTTAGTTTTTAGTCTCTTAGTGCTACCTTGGATGACGACGTATGGTCTTTTTTTTTTTTTTATCTTTTTCTTCTTCGCTTCCCCTCATCCGACTGTCGCTTGGCTTTCGGGCAGGCTACCGCTAAGGTAGTTTGACATTCAGGGCCTTTCCCGTTCTGATGTCTTCCTCAGAACGTGCTGTGGCGCACTCCTAAGCAAGCCAGCCCACGCATACCTTACACAAACGCCTTTTACCCATAGGCTGCCTTTGCCAAGTCTGTTTGGACTAGGCCGGTAGGGGACATATTTTATACACGCTTACGTTGGAAAGAAAGAAAAAAACGGGCAAAAAAGAAAGAAAGGCTCAACGTTCAGCATCATTACTAGTATGAGAAGTTCCGGCTTAACGGGCAGCCAGCTAGCCACATTGTCTCAGTCAGCCAGTCGACCTGGCCATCAATTCGACTTTCCTGGTACGAGCACACCAACTCAAGGAAGGCATCGGGCTAATAGGAAAGGGAACGCGAAGGGGTGAAAAACAAAATAATCCAAGCCGCAGGGTGGAAAACAGTGGTAACGAGAACAAGGTGGACATGGTGACATTAAACTCGAGGGGTTCAGTAAACAGGATATTCGGAATGTACGAAGCACTTGGCTTCAGCCAGGCTTTTCTGGTTCCAGCTGCTTACGCTGCCCACCAAACCTTGCCTCAGGTTGTCATCTTTTTCAAACTTGTCGATGTACCTAGCTACCAGCCGGCACAACCCTCCTTGTAAGCCGAGGGAGGCACACACACACACACACACACACACACACACACACACACACACACACACACACATTCATGGCGTGTATGCAAGCGCCAAGGGGTCTGAGGTATCTAGCTAGGTTGAATTCCAATGCAGGTGAAAGACAGGCAATCCCGAAAAGCAGGGAGGAAGAGGAGGCGCTGGGCCGAGTGGGCTGGCTGGGTGTTTTTTGAATCGAGAGTTTGTTAGTTGATGGCGCAAGAGACGACGTGGACAAGGACGGCAGGGAACGTTCAATCAAGGCGACGGCGAATTTTTTTTTTTCCCCTCCTCCTTCGTTACTTCCTCTCCATCTCCCTCTCAGGCCAACTTTTTTTGGTCAATGCCTGTTGGAGTCCTCCATCCCGCAGCATTGGGCCGCCGTCCGACTGGATTTTCCTGCATGTTAGTCACTGGCTTGGGTCCCCCTTAGGCTGGCTGGATTCCCGCGGGAGACCAACGCCAGCGCCAGCGCCAACAGAGGCTGGCCCAGTGAGGAGCCGGCACTATCAGCTCCATGATCAGGGCATTGAAAGCCCCATTTGAAGTGGATGGAGGCCCGGGTGAGGCGAGAGGCGTAGGGACAGTAGACGGGCCTGGCAGGCGGCCCAGGATGCATGCACTGCGGTGGCCTGGCAGCAGGCGTTCCGAGGAGTGGACTACTAAAACTACTACTTACTACCAATACTGGCTTGTACATGTTTAGGTAGTGTGTAGGTACGATTGGCAGACGTGGGTACAAGGAGAAGGTACCTAAGGCACCCTATAGCAGGGTGGTCCCCAGTGCCTTAGGGAGATCCGATGCTACTGCAAAGCGCGCTGCGTTGCCCCCGCTGGTGTGCATCATCCATGGATCCTCGTCGTTCCCGCTCCTGCTCTCGTTCCTCTCTTTCTTTCTCGCTTTCCTCCATCCCCCTCCCCCCCTTCCTTTTTTTTTTTTTCTTTCCCTTCCCGGGGTACTCGAGGAACTCGAGGAAAGTGGTGCCCGGCAAAAGTAGACGTTCCTCTCCGTATGTCACTCCACTTGCTCCTCTCTCCTTCCTCCCATCCCCTCCCCACTGTATAGCTGCATCTGCATCTGCACCTGCTCCTTGCGCCTGTATCGTAGTACCTACCACACACCCCCTCACACCCCCTTCCCTTCCATTCTCTACCCTACCCTACCCTTCCTTACTTGCGCCTTCTTTCCCACCTCCTGGACCATGACCGCCTGCCGACAGCCCACCGATGCAGTCGAGGCGAATGGGAGTAAGGTAGGTACCTTGGATCCCTCAACCCAGGAATGTGTAAAGGTGCGAAGCGAGGAGCGGACAAGGAAGGGGGGAAAACGAAAGACAGGTATCCCGTACCATGCTAGCCCAGCCCTGTACTCTACCGTCCCAGCCCCACCAAAAGAGCAACCTAGCCTACGGGTTAGGTACCTCACCACCCGCTGCAGCAGCGCAGCGACGACAGGCGGGCAAGACATGACTGGACTTTGACAACGTCGTGCAGCGACAGGCGCCTGGCAGGTAGACAGGTAGACGGCACGGGTAGACAGCCAGACCTGCTCGACCGATGACTATAACACCCCACCACCCTCGCACCACCTCCTTCCACTTCTTACCCTCCCTCTTCTCTCTTCACGAGCTCTTCGTCCACTGTTCTCTTCTTCTCATTCGCGGTAGCAGGCGTGCAAGCCAAATATCCCTTGCTCTACTCTTGGGGACCGCCCAGCTCCGTCATCACTTGTTTCCTTTATTATTCGTTTTCCCCCTCCAAATATCCCCAGATTTCCGAGACCCCACCCCCCGGCAGCTTTCAAGATCAAGACCTCAACCCTGGGTAGACACACAATCCAACATTACGACACAGTCCGCCTTTACCCGTTGCCAACTACCACCTAGGGCCTCTTCATCTTATAACGACATATCCCTGTCACCGTCGCCGCCGCCGCCGCCGCCGACTTCTCTTCGTGACACCAGGACAGCTTCTTCCTCCCCAGCCTAACAGAATCCTAACCCACAACCTTTACAAAGATGCCTGTTCAACTACTGCCAGCTTCTGCGGCCGCTTTTGCTCCCAGAGCCTCATCAGTCAATGTTGTGCTGGGTTCCAAGGTCGAGCCGTGGTTGACTCAAACCCTCAAGCGCATCAACAGGATTAAGCGCCCTCTCAACAGCGTCCCTCAACACCAAAGATGTCTAACCGAGACCCTATCCTCACCGAACGCTATTTGGACTCTCACCTCCATCATGCTTCCCAAGGCTCCCGAATCTGAGCTGCGCCAGGACTCCAATCCTCTGGTCGAGGCCGTCTTCAACTACCAGCTCCTCCACATCGAGGCATACATCGTCCATGTTGACATGGTTCTGCGCAACGAGGTCGCCTTCAAGTTGACTACCGATTCGATAGAAGCCCTTGTCGAGTATCACAAGGAGATTCACTGTGTCGACAGCAAGGCTAAGACATACGACTGGTCTGAGAAGGATCAACAGTGCAAGAAGTTACACGACGACTTCGTCCAGTCCATCAACAAGTTTGTTTACAGGACGCATGTCTCCGCCTTGGAAGGCCTCGAGGAGGACGGTGCCGGTGAGCTGCTCTCGGGTAAGAGCGATGAAGTCAAGAACAACATCATGGGCCTGATGAAGCCCCTGCTTCCGCCTCCGCCCCGTGTCGTGGATGTCATTAGACAACCTCCTCTGTTGCCCAGCTCACCCGCAAACGTCAACATGTGGTCGCAGCCTACCACTCCGGCCAACTTGCCCACCGTCGACGCATGGAGGGTGCTTCCCTCAAGTCCGAGTATCACGACTTCCCAGGACTCCACACCCATTTGGGCAAACATTGGTATGAGTGAGGTTCAAATTCCCTCTCCCACGCCTTCGTACAGCCAGCCCTTTTCCACTGCCGGCTTCTTCTACAGCTCGCCTGGCATCACGGCACCCATCCCGGCGTTGCCCCTGCCTAGCATGTTCACTCCCCAATGTGGCGTGAGCATCGGCTACGGCGGCTTCGGTTGGGACCGTTACCAGGAGTACACGACGACGATGTGACAACCAACGCCTGTCACCAATGATGGCTATCCTGCCGTAACGACCTCATAGCATTGCCTGACGCGTTTGTCCATGTTTCCCGGAGAAAAGTTGAAGTCCTCTCTCTCACTTTCTCGAATTGCTCGGCATAGAACCACATTCGAGGCATCTCGGCGTTTTGCATCAACTGGGGGAGCGAACGGCGTTACGGAAACTCGCGCAAGATGAATCAACTCAACAAAAAAGATATAATCTCGGCCTTTTCTTTGTTGGCAGCAAGCGAGCGTCTGATTTTACAATTCTGTCTTTTCGATATCCTGGGAATAACAACCACCACTCAATACGCCGCAAGCTCGGTCACCTTTCATTCGAATCACACATCATGGCTGGGTCCGGGGCGGGCATTTGAGTGCATTTACATTTGGGGGGGTTTCGCGAAATAAAGGCAACTTGTGTCTCTCTTCCCTTTTTCTTTCATCTCTTTTTTTCCCTTTGGTCTTCTCATCTAAACAAGAGGAACACGCAGCAATGCAACAACCCCCCGCTCGACTCCAGGCCTGGAGCCGAGACAGAAGAAACCGACAAACCTTGGATTCTCGATTCCCCCGTTTTTTTGGATTTTTTTTTTTTGGTCCTTTTCTTTTTTTCTTTCATTGGTTTAAGAGGCTTTCTTAGAGATACCCCATCGGCATTATACTGGATCGGAAGATACCATACCGCTGCGCACTTGCTTTCTTTCATTTCCTTGGCTTGGGTTTCCTGTCTTACGGATGATTACGACGACCGTTTCACGACGAATGACGAATATTCACGACTGCGCGCCTTACGATTACGATTGAGATGACACTGCTCACAGGGCTAGATGCCGCGACACGCAGTTCTCTTGATCATTTTCGATTCGCAGAGACTATTCGGTTTTTCGGTTTTGACGGCGATGACTTGCACCCGGACTGGATCCAATAATGGCAACGTTTGTCGCACGGAAGGGTCGATTTCGCAAAATAATCATCGCGTAGCCGAGACTTGCACGTATCTGAGATACAGCCGTCGGAGCAGACACTGGTTTGTCGACAGGATTCTTGCTGCTGCCTAAACCCCGCTGGGGGCGCGGTGGACACGGAAGTGAAGGAGAGGTGGGACACACTATCAACACATCAAAGAAGCTGGGCATCGCTACGGAAACACCCTGCAGGTCAGGGACGTGGTGCAAAGACCTCTTTTGCCATAGCCTCGGAATCTGCTCTCACGGCTACATATATCCTCACTCAAAGATACGCGGGGCGGACGAACCCGACTACCTAGGTCATGCTGATTACCCCAACCGGAAGCCAAGTACGACGTTGCTGAATCCTGCGAGACGGGACCAACGATGAACGGAAAGGAACAAACCGGAGAGGGGGTCATTGCATGTTAACCTGGGGTCAAGGGGGGTCACGCCCTGTGGCAGCTTCGGGCTAGGGGAAATGTAGACGGGGGACAGTGAGAACAGGCGACATGTGGCTCGCCCTCACGCATGGCCTCCCCGCCTACCGAAGGAAGAACGATTCGGACGGGCACCAGACTGCTCTGGCAAGGGATGGGAAAGCCGCATGGGAGATTAATTGGGTGTCTGTATCCGCTGTGCGGGTAATAGAACCCAGCTCCCCAAGGAAGCAATTCTGCGGCAGAGGGCGCTGGGAAACTTTTTGAGAGAGAGAGAGGCAGAGAGAAAAAGGAAATATGGGCAACAAGGCAACCCTGGAGGTTTTTCTAACCTTGGCCTGGACATACACTGCTCAATGGGTTTTTGATTGCATTTTACGTTATTAGTTAATCCGAACAAGATTCTGTTCAACAATGTGTGCGTCCTTGTGTGCTTACGTGAGGTGTATACAATGGATGACGAAAACGTAGAGAGCTTGGATCGACTGACGGAAGACTTGGGATGCTCGCATGTTCACGCGTTGGTGAGAATCGGGGTAAGATCTGCCCCTCCTCAGCTTCCTCAGCTTCGACTCTGGTGGGTGGATATCGGAAGGGGAGGTTGGACAGGGTGCATGTTTTACTTTGGAGTCTGTTGTGCCATGCCGCGTTGTCTTTGGGCATCATCGATGTTCAACGGGGCGGGAAGGAAACAAGATCTAATCTGCCAAGCACGGCTGGGGTAAGGCCCCTCCCTCCTTCCCCATCTCTCTACTTTCTCTCCCCCTCATCCAAAAGAGAAGGAAGTAAAGAGAGACAGTGACCGATCGGTCGGAGTGGCGAATTTTCTTTTGCTTTTCCTTTCTTTTTTTCTTACGCTTTATTTTCTCCCTTGTCTCCCTCCCCCCCTGTATCCGATAACCCAACACCTTGGTGAGATTCAAGTCAGCACTTTGCATCCAAGGCATAACGGTTAAAAAGCAAGATTTGCCTGTTCGGCGCCGGCAGGCCGGTGTACTCGGCGGAGCTCCCAGGACCGAAGAAGGGGTAAGGCGTTCTTTTTTAATCATCTTTCAATAGGGCGCAGGTTACGAGGAACGTCTCTAGCCATGTCCCCCGACCCCGACCCATGCTTTTCGCGGAATGTTATCAACACCTTTTTTCCCTGAAGTCATATTAATCCGGAGCCGGTTTCCTACTCTGGCATATAACTGTCGCAAGTGTTCGAGACAAGTTTGTCTGGACTACTAGTAGACCCTGGGGTCGGGCCGGATTACACACACGCACACACACTCCAAATATTCACCTGTTCTTTTTTTGAGCCTCTTTCTAGACACCCCGTTTTATGTTGCGGGTTTCTGGCCGGAGAGACATTCCCGAGGAAGAAGCGTCTCAGACACAAGACACGCGGAGGTGCCAATCGATGGGGAATATGGAAAGAAAGGAATGTCTGAGGGCGCCCCGGACGACGTTCTAGAAAGAGACAAAAAGAAAGGAAAAAGACCGGGCGTTGAGTGGATATCACTCAACGCCCGGCGTCTGAGCGTCCCTTGGCTGGATACCCGTCATCGTCGTCGATGAGGTAGTAAGTGCCCTTGGACGTTTAAAGAAAAGACACGGCCACCACCCCCACCATGTACGCTCGGAACTCGGGCCATGTGCAGGCAGAAAAGCCTCGTTGACGCCCCCTCGCACGGACGGGAACGTCTGAACGCCGGGGGGACTATACAGCCCTGTTCAAGGACAGACGTGGATTGTTGTAACGGCGGCGTGATGTGTTCCACCGGTTCCGAGGGTGAGGCTTCTAGGACATGCCGGGGACTGTTTTCTTTCTTTTGTTTTCTATTTAGGTTGATCTATCTTGGTACGAGACACGGAGGGTCACGATGAGGAACGAATTGGATGGACGTGGCGGCGAGGTTGAGTTACATGCAGTGAAGCTACGGCGTCGCGCGGGTTGTCGTCTGGACAGTTACAAGTTTGACGGGGGGGAAAGGGCCCCCCCAAAAGAAAATAGACTTCGATATTTGATGTTATAGAATTTGGGTTGGCAGCTATCACGTTTGGAAAGGGGTGCGAGGATCGAGAGGCCCGGTTGGAGGTGGTTGGTGCTCTGTGCAGGGCATGGGGTTACTGCCGTCCGTCCCTGTGAAGAAATGTTTGGGGTCTTGCGGATGTGCGAATTACGCGTCCTCTCCTTCTCTCTATCTCTAATGTTTTCTCTCCCGCTTCCCCGGTGGGAAGGATGGTACGTTGAAGTCACGTTGAGGGAAACGTCGCATGGGCGTTTGCAAGAGGTTTCCCCCTCCACACCAGAGTTTTTTTTTGGGGGGCTGAAGATCGACGAGTGGGTATACGTGTGTGTGTATGGGCGCAAAGAGGGTTCGGGCATTTTGAGTTTCTACTATCATTTGCCTGTTAAGGCCTGTTCAAAGTCTTTTTATTTCCCTTCCCTTTTCTTGCATTTTTTATTTTATTTTATTTTAATTTTTCTCGTTGCTTGCAATTTGGAGAGAATTTGTTATGGTTCTGGCCCTGGCGTCGCATGAAGGACGTTGATGCGTACGTTGATGCGTACGTGTGGGGGATGATGACGGGTACTCTACGCATAACGGGGGAACTTTGCTCTGCGTGTGTGGGTTTGAAGTCTTTTGATTTCCCTTTTTCTTTCTTCGGTCTATGTGTTCCGCGCCCCGGCGCCGCAGCGTAAACTTCATGCAAACCGGAGATGCAATTGTAAGGCTAACCTTTTTGCAAATACACACACACATACACACACACACACACCAAGTCCGTCTTTACGGCAACACCAGGCTCGGCATTCGGAGGCGGAAGAGACAACAGATGTGCTGGAGCACCCAGAGTGCCAGAGCAGAACAGGGGGCAGACGGGCAGACAGGGAGGGTGTGGCTTGCCACTTATAGAGAGGTGACAGGGATAAAAGGCCGAGTTGCGGCTGAGCAGGTCCAAAAGGGGATGGTGGGGACTTCGCGATGTCCGGGCCGCAGGACGAGGGACGAGGACGTGGCAGCCCCCCCCCTCTCCCCGGCTGATGTGGCTGCCGCGGGGCCGAGGTGGAGTCGATGAGGCGGTGCAGCTCCGGTACGTTTTACACATTGAAACGAAACATTCTGTGGAGAAGCGAGGAGTGGGGTGCGGGGAGGCCTCAAGCCCGCATTGGTCGGGTTACGAAACCGAGGCCCCTCTGAACGGAAGGTGCTCCGGTGAGGATGTGTCTGTATGTACATTTTGCTATTTTATCTTAAGTCTATCTGGCACTCCCGAAAGGGGAGGGGGTAGAAGCCAGCGGATGTGGCCGAGACTCAAAATCCGCCTTGGTTCTCTGGAACCCCGGGCTTTTTTTGTTTTTTTTTTTTTGAGGGACCACGGGTACAATCTGACGTGGTCTTGATGTGGAAAAGGGGGGGGGGGGGGGCACGTTGGGACGCTGATCAGCCAGACTGAGCTGTTGTCTGGTTTTTTTTTTTTTTTTTTTTTTTTACCGCCTCGTCCCGAGAGGATTGATTACCCTAAAGGGCAACTCAGCCGGGACTGCACGCATAAGTGAGAAAGCCCATGGCGTCTCTGTTGTTTGCCGCAGGACGATCGAGCACACACGCGTGTAGACTGGCAGACCGACATGGAGGACATTGTCCGGTTGTATTGTGGCTGCTTGGGTAGTGGTCATGTAGCACTGGGGCGTGGAAACCCCGGCGGAGCCAGTGAATATAACACGCCAGCCTGTTTCTCACAACCACATCGTCACGGTAAATCGCAGCTTAGCAGGGATGCCTAGATCCCAACAGTGGTGCCTGAAAGCCTTGGGCACCCTATCTTCGCACTCCGACTAATAGAATTCGTTGTCGACGAGGCGATCGGCTCCGACTCCGGGCGTCGCCTATGTGGAGGATCGAGGGGGCATGCTGAAGATCCTTCAAGTCGGATGACGGCCACGGGGGGTGGGGGGTGTGGCGTGGATCGATCTCCGGTTTTGACTGCAATGCAAAAGCGACCCAGGGATCTGGTCGTGGAGGGCATCATGATGACTTCGATGGGTGTGATGCCTCTTTGGTAAGCGGTCGATGCCTGGACTGCAGTTCGCGGGTGACTGGGGGCTTGCTTGCTTGCTTGCTTGGATAGGTTGGGCTTGGCGGTTTGTTAATTTGACGGCCACAAGTAATACTTCCAGATGAGAGAGATTGCAACTCTGACATGCAGATGTAGCTTCCGCGCAGAACTGGACACTCGTTAGTTGGACTGCATTCGCCTGCTTCTCGAATCACTTTCTAAGCTGTGATCGCGTTTGATCTCTAATCAGGTTGTACCTGTGGTCAGTAGCGGTCAGCAGCTCGGACGCAATCCTATCAGCACGAACTATCATGAGAGCATTAGACTCAACAAGGCAATAGTACATCAATGCAAAGCAGATGAGGTTAATGGTCGAGATGGTGCAGGATCGTTTCGAGGGCAGTCATGGAACCTGCCCCGGTTGACGTGCCAATCAGGCAGGACAACTCTTAAGCTAGGTGCTATTCCTTCTGTTGAAGTGCCACAGCAAGAAGTTTGAAATGTGCATTAACAGAGAATCATATGGTTAACGAAGTCTAGTCAGGCAATGGCCTTATGACAACTTTGTCTGAGTTAAAGTATTTCTCAAACCCCGTAACCGATACAAACTCTTATGCCTTGAAGCACCTTGACTTTGCACAACTCATTACACTTTGTTGCACGGCTACCTTAAAATTCTTGGAGCGGCATGATTATTTCATTTTCAAGCCTAGGCAAAAATAATCCGCAGTTACTCTGTCTCTACAAAATTCGGATTCTTGCTACTTAAAGCCAAGAGTTTTAGAGGTCAACAAATTGAATTGTTTTGTAAAGCTTGTTAAGTCACAAAATACCATCACAAGCACGACTTAAGGTAGCTCGTAAACACAAAATCCGTGCCAGTCAGTTCTGTGACGGCTCCAACGCCGCAACCATACTAAATAAATCGTTTCTAGGCGTCCTTAGGTTTCTGGCCGTTCTTGAACCAGTCCTTCAGGAGGCCAATCTCCTCGTCGGTGAGTGCGGCCTTGTCGGTGCCGTGAAGAGAGATGACATAGGCCACCAAACTGCCGGACTTGGCGGGGTCCGACGCCAGCCCGCGAGCGTCAAGAAGTGCGCCGGCTTGAGAGGGGTTGGCAACGAACTGAGAGAGTAGGGCCAGCTCGTCCTCGTCGAGGATCGGGCAGGGGTCGTTGTTGCGGTTGATAATCTCTTGGGCCAACGTGTGGGTATCGATCATGTGGCGAGGGGAGGGGCCGGTGTAAGGGGCAGACTCAACGGTGGCAGCCATTTTGGTTACGTTTGACGGTGGCTCTGATATGATTGAGAGTTGTAGATATGAGGATTAATGCTCTGAAGCTTTGGATTGAAGAGGTATGGCTTGGCCTGAAAGCACGGACGACTCTTGGTTATATACTTTGACCCATCTGTGACGTGAAAACCATTTATCAGCTAAAAGAACCGGGATCGTTGGTGTTTGTACCCAAGTGTTGGTGTGGCAGCGTAAACAAGCAAGCAAGCCGCTGTTTGTGTTTATGCGATTGCCTGGGGCAGGCAACAACCAAAGTCGTTGGACCTGCCACAACGAGAAACTCATTCAAGCGCCAATTGGCCAGGCCTGTTGGCACCTCACAACCAACAGCATAGAACAGGCTGCACGGAATCAGGCAGAATTTCGTAGCCCTAGCAACCGCCACTAATTTTGCTGAATAGTTAGCCAAAGCTCTCTTTATCAACATGCCAATGGTAAAGAGCAGTAATGATTACACCGTACCGAGGGCACGAAACAGGCACAAGTTACGACATGGGGGGGGGGGGGTCAACTTTTGTATGACACCACGGGACAAGTTGCTTTTCTCGTCCTCATAACACCAACAAGAGCCTGGCTTGGCATGCAAAGCGCCGAATGCTTGCCTACGTACCATTGCAGCTGCCTAAAGTTCACCAACTAAGGTATGTAGGCCACCCCGCTCACATCGGTTCTGCTACGTGAAAGCAACCATCCCCTCGCGTTTCATTAACTGAAATTACACCTAAAATCACGCGTATCCTGAGTACTTTTTGACGACAGTATGGTGGATCCTACCTCACAGAGTGATATGCATCTCGCAGCAAGCCGCGAAGAAAAAACAGCCCATATGGCCCAGCATATGGACCAGCATATGGAAAGGATACAGGGCCAACACCCCGAAGTTGACTTAAAATTGTCTTCGCAATGGTGGATGCCAGCCATCGACCTTGGGGCTGATGCTGAGGTGAGAAGACGCCTGAAGCGAGCGTGTTTCATACTGTGCTTTTTCGCCCACCTCTTCGTATCGTACGCTTAATTACATCACTAAGTATCTTACGTCATAGGAATCACTGGATGCCGATACAAACAGCAAAGTCAACAAAATATTGAATAAGGCAATGGAGAGCAAGTTTGACCCTGAAGTTATTAAAAACGTTCGGGAGGAGTTGAAGACGATTCTTGTGGGACAAAAGGACATCCTGAAACGTATTGAAGACATCATATTCCCGAACGAGCATGCTATGGCTCAGATGCGCCAGTATATCCAACAACAGGAGGAGAAGGGAAGTCAAGCCTTTCCCGCATGCTCCGCTAAGCCGGGTTCTGGCAGCTATCAGAAATGATGTTCACGGTGATGGAGACGAAATGAGAAAGCCTTACAAGATACTTTACTTTCCACCCTCAGCAGCATGCTAAGAGCTTCTTAAGTCTCAGTATCAGTACAATTAAGCATACTCAGCCCCCTTAATATCGGAAATCTAGACTGAGACCATGGGGAAAGCCTTTGGCAACAGCATTTTGACTAGTTGTTGCATCAATAGGAATATGGGGTAAGGCCGCCCGGCACGTGGGGCTTGAAGGCACAACTTCCTCTCTTCGACATCTGTTGGATTAGTTAGAATACGAGGCCACCTGGCCAGGCCCCGGCAGTAGGTCTCAGAAGGGACCGATGTCTTCTTTCCATACGTGACGAGCAATGAGACTATATTTCCCACTTTCACTTCTAAACCACCACTTCATTCTACTTCTACGCATCATGTTTGTTAGGAACTTATTGTTTTGCTATTTTACCCGTACGGGACCACTTTCACCCCGTGAAGCCTACAGTTCTCCGGCTCATGTGAGGGTGGGTAAGCTTGATTATGACATTGTTAAGATTGTTGGTCAAAACAGCCTGTGTGATTTGTTCATGATGAATCTGGTTTACATAATTTGGTAAAGCTGATTTCATGTGCTGACCAATGCGCATACTTGACTCAAATGTGTTTACTGCTTCCTTAATGACCCTAGGAACCGAATCGTAGTTAGTAGAGTATAACTAGTGTGAAGATTTCCAGGCAAATTTTGGCTTACAGTGGATGGATAGCACAGAGTAAGCAATAATCTAAGCAACAGAAGGTATTGTTTCTCTTAGCATAAACCATTTAGCTAGCTGGTTTATGAGGGACTTTGAAAGCGGAAAGTCAACCCCAGAATAACAGGATGAGCTCTACTTAGGATAACAGATTGATAAACAGCTTCATTACCAATGCCAACAATTGTGTTATGAACAAGTCGAAAGATCTCAACTCCGCGGCACATCACGAGATCGCAGGCAACAAATTTGAAAACACAGAAATTGCATCCATCCCGGACAATATTATCAAGATCTTGAAAAGAAAACTGCGCATTCAAGAATTGTTCGGTAATAAGCGTCAGAATACTAATCGCCCGCACTGTGACTGCTTGTTCCATCATTTTCTCAGTGTCACTACAAAGTCAGACGCAGCTCTTTAGGACCCTACTGAAACCCGAGAAAGCATAAAGTTCGGCATAGAGTAAAATTAAGTTTCTCAGTCCCTTGAAAAGACCAATCATTTTTAAACAGCCACTTAACTGCAACCTAAAGATTACAGCCGGAGCCTTGCAGAGGTCGGCCCCTCGGCTCCTATTCGGGACCGACGTCTTATTTAGGTAATCTTCTGCCGAGTTTTCAACCAGCATCAGCTTCTACAATCTATACCCATAATTCGGCGCCGATCAATCATGAAAACAAGTATAAGAAGCATTCAGTTCGCTTATTATTCTGCGTGTCGCTGCTTAATATCAATCCGACTAATAAATCGAAAACTTGACTTCCATACTTTGGCCCGCACTATGTCGACTCAAAACGTTGCCACCATTTATCAGGCTTTCCTGGTGTAGGTTTCACAGGGGGTGAAACAGGGGGTGAAACGGAATTCCGTTCGTCAATAACAAATAACAGTAAATTGGTTCTAATCGATGGTTCATGATGATAGTTGAAAGTGGTGTTGTTGACTAGAAGGTGGGGATATTCCCCCTTGGCCTGTCACGTGGGTCTGGGAGGCTTGGGCCTCTCAGCCTGGCGGGCGTGTGGCTGGAAGTGCCACACGGCTCCGTATTCCAACTATCGCAACACTGGAAACTCTCTTTTTATGGTGTTGAAGCGGTTGGAATACGTTGTCCCTATACAGTTCCGTCTCCTCGTCAATTCGGCCTCCTATCCCTACTTTCTCCCGTAGTTACGGTCTTGTTACCCATCCCTCCATACGTATCGTTATCGTGTTGCTATCAACGAATCTCTCGAGGGCTCGATTTGGTTTGCTCTTCGTGAGGGCATCAGCAGGGTTGTCTTCGCCGTTAATCCAACGAATTTCTTGTAGTTCTCGTCTTTCGTACGATTGTCTCAACGCCATGATATCGATCATGAGTCGCTTTTCTTTGGTAGTGCCCAGCTTCACGAGACACTCGTACAGCGAATAGGAATCGGTACAGACAACTGTCTGAATCGTTGGTAGGTTGAGGTGGTCAGTGATTGTCGCCAGGGTTGTGGCGAGGGCGTAGGCCATATCGACGCCAGCGACCATCCCGTAGATCTCTGACGCTAATACGCTGCGGGTGACTCGTTTACTCTTCGTAGAGCTGTAATGAACGAGGTTACCGTGAATCGTGAATTCTCCGTTGTTGCTGTCAGAGGAAGTGTCGTTGGCTAGGATGATCAGAAACCCTAATTGGGAGGAGAGGTCGTGGTTATTAGCGAACGACCCGTCAACGAAAACGAATAGCTTGGCTGTTGTAAGGTCGAGTGGGATAAACGTTATTCCTCGGTTAGGCGATTCTATTTGCCATCGAATCCGTTGATTCAGTGCTTTTATCGCTTCTGGCGAGGGGTCTTGGTGTTGGGCAGCAGTGGATAAATCGAAACAGGCCTCGGGTTGGCAAATTGACGCGATGTACGCCCCTCTGGCGCGTTGTTCGACATATTGCTGTTTTGGGTTGGGTTTAGTAGTCTCAATACATCGTAACTTCTTGGCTTGTCCCTTTTGCCTCAAATTGATCGAATTGTCGGTTGACAGCGCGATTATCCCTCCGTTGAATTGGAGGGGTTCGTCAATTGTGAGGATATTCTTCGCTTTTGCCGTAAAAGCCGCTTTTTCTAACTGTTCGTCTTCTAATTGTGAGAACGCCTTGTCTGACAAACCGAGGGTATCGTCGGTTTGCATGCCGATACAGCCAAAGTGTGGATTTTCGGTAGATGAGATCAATAGGCATGGATCGTACGAAGAAGTAACCATCTGGAGATTCTCTCTGTGATGCTTGTGATACGTTGCCCACCAGTGGGTTCCAGCTTCTGCGATTCCGTACAGAGGCTTCACAACCTCCATAATGGTCCCTTTTGGGTACTGGTCTTGAATTTGCTTCGGTGGGTAGGCGAGAATAGTACGATTGAGCCTTGTGGAGGATTGAACGTAGGCTTGTGTGATATCTCGAAGCCATAGTTGTTTCCCTTCTCGTAGGAGTGACGGGGTAATTGACAGAATTAGCCGTTGACTCGCCCGCTGAATCGTTGGCGATTGGGTCAATATAGCCTTCTTGCCATCGTCGGCGTAACCCTGTATTACAAGTCTCGATTTCTCGTAGGGTTCGGTTGTTTTACCCTTGACTTCGTTGACGATACGAGATCGGAAGATTCGTACGTTCTGGTGCCTTCTCTTATTGAACTGGGTGAATTTGAACACTCCTCTAGCGATGAGGCTGTTGATCTCTTGTTTAGTTGACTGTTCGAACGGTTCGCCTGGTGTAGTAATAACACCTTCTCGTCGTAGTTTGATTGCCAATTCTTCGTCTGCTTGCTCCTTAATCGATAGGAATATTTGTTGATAATCCGGGTCATCGTTGAATTCCTCTGTGAAGTGGGCGATTGGCAGTGGTCTCTTCCGGGGTCTGCCCGGGCGTCTTCTCGGTGGCTCCGGTGCCTCTTGCGGTTCGTCCGGTTCACTGCCTCCGCCGGCGACGATAATTTCGTCGCGTACTACTTCCTGCTGCGGTATCTCAGCTTCGGGTTCTTCTTCTTCTGGCGCGGCGATGGAATTAGGTGGTTGATCGGGATCTTCGTAGTATGGTTTGACTACGGTAGACCGGAAGGTCTTCGGACCACGTGGCGTATCGACAGTACAGGTTTCGCCGTTTATGGCTGCTAAAGTAAACGGTCCGGTCCAGCCCTTCTTTTCGCGCCATACTCGTACTTGCGACCGTAGCGGTAAATTAACAATTGGCCCTGTATCAGGGCCATTGCGGGTGGCGATAGCTTCTGCCACCTGTCGCCTTGCGTGAAGTTCGCGTACTTCGCTCGTCGCCTTCTTAATCGCTTTCGCCCGCCTTGTGACTTCGGGAGATGGCGGCGAATCGTCGGTAATTCGTGGGTACGAGCCGAATACCAAGAGTGTTGGCACTATTCCGTTCGGGCCAGCAGTATCGTTGACTGCTTTGACTGCTGTTTGAAGTGCTGATTCTGGCGTAATTGTTGGGTCTTCTGCTCTGATGATTTCGTACGCCCTCCTTAGAGGTGTATGGTATCGTTCAACTTTCCCAATACTGTTGTGGGCTTCTATGGGAATTTCCTTGATTTCAATTGCCATTCCTCTCGCCGCGTTTCGGAATTCTGTTGAGCGGAAGTTTGTTCCAGCGTCGGTAACTAGCCAGTCTGGGGGTCCCTGATACACATCTATCCAGCAGAGGCGTAGGGCTTCCCAAGTGGCTTTCGCAGAAATGTCCTCAAGGAACCGGGCGGCGTTGAACGCCGTGGCGGTATCGACGACGTGGAGGACCGGTCTGTTACCCTCAAGGTACATCACGTCGGCGATAACCTCGTAGTTGAATTCGTAATCGTCTCGTAACGTGAATTTGAACCGTGATGGCGCTGGTGCGTGCATTTGGCATCGATGGCAGACTTTCGATAGTTGCTCAATTGCCGTAATTTCAACTGGGTGGCCGGCCCTCTGGAGCACCTTGTGTAATCGTTGAACAGATGGGTGTCCGAAGCGACGGTGAACCCGTCGCAATTCAGCGTCTGTGAGGTGGTTCCAGGCGAGTGGTTTCTCCTTATCGAGTAATAACCATGGGTGGCCCCATTTGCGAATAATAGGTACGACCTTATTTCCTTGGATGAGGGTATTCGTAACGTTGTTAAAGTAGACCTTCAATCGGTCCATATCTCCTAGGCACATAAGGAAGGGAGTGTTAGTCTCAATAACGTGAAATTTGACGCTTCCAAACGGCGTTGGCACTTTGGTAGTCCCTATAGACTCCAGTGGTATCCCATCGCCGAATTTCACTGTAACGCCGCCAGCCGCCTCAGTGTTTAACGTAATTCCTTCGTAAATTTGTTGTAGGGCCACGAATTGTGGGTGGCCAGCGGTTGAGAATCCTGCTGCGCCCGAGTCGGGCATGATCCCTTGGAAGTTCTGGGCAGAGTAGCGTCCCTCGAGTGTGAATTGCGAAGGTAGCTCTTTCGGTTCTGGTTGGTTGCGGAAGAGGTCTTCTTTCGTAATAGCATGGCGGGTTGACTGGTCTGCTAGGATCGTGGCGATCCTGTTGCCGTCAATTGCTGTTGTAGTGAAATAGGCGGTGACCTGGAATTGACTGTCGCTGCCGGTCTCTTCCTCTTCGTCACTTTCACTGGTTTGTTCGGTTACGTGGTAGTATTGCTGGGGGTCTTCGGCGGTAGGTTGTAGGTCTAACCCGTCGAAACCCTCGTATTGGACGAGAAATTGGCCATATGCTGGAAGTGACGTATCCTGGGCATATTGGGTGGTTTTGAACTTCTCGTACGCTTTTCGTCTCTCTTCTGTGGTGTGTTTGGTTGACCAGCAGTTAGGTTTTCCACACACGTAGCACTTCTTAGGCGTTGGCGGTAATAGGGGTCTGTCACGGCTTCTTCCTCGTGATGATCGACTTCGTGATGAACGACTGTATCGTGAATAACGCCCTCGACCGTTGAAAGTTCTGTCGGTCCAGTACTGCTCTGGTGGGTTGGCTACTGTGTTGAATTGTTGTTGGTTGAGACGGGTAGCTGTCTCGATCGACGAGATTAATTGGCTGCGAAGTCCCTCGTACGTCTCAGCCGGTACAAATAACGCCATTGCACACTCTGGAATATCTCTACAAGCGTGTAGAAGTTGGGTATGGAGGGATCGGTCGTTATGATCCTGTTGTGGCAAACCGGGCTGAATCTTGCTTAATTTGTCACATAGTATGTCAAAACACTCCGATTTGGTCTTTCCAGGGTTATCGCGAATGATTTGGGGAAGAGTAGTTGTATTCCACTGCGTAACGTACGCTTGTTGCCTTTCCCTAGTCTCGAAGTGTGATTTCAATTGGTTGATCATGGTCTCGAAGTTGGGCTGTGGGTTGATCACTTTAATCGAGGCGTAGAAGTAGGTTTTGGCTATTCCTTTCAGTATTAGGGGAAGTGCCCTGTTGTATTGGGAGGTGTGAATTCCCAGCATTCTACAGTGATCCACGAATACTGGCATCTTCTTTTCGAGTACATCGTACATATCGCCGCTGTATTTCATATCGTCGGGGTACAGTTTCGCGAATTCTGTTAATTGCTTTCCGATACGGTCTGTTGACTCGTATGGTTGGAAGTCTGTTAACGGAGAGACCGTGGGATGTGGCGGTCGGTACGGTAGTTGCCACTGTTGTTGTTCTTGTGGAGGAGGTGGCTGTAGGGTTGGTTCGACTCTTCCTCCTGTGCTGTTGGCTACTGTTGCCGGTCTCGTGATCTCTTCGTGGAATTCGGGGTCTTTTATCAGAGCCTTCAGGTTGCGATATCTCTTGACGCCTTGTTCGAGTTCTTGGGGTGACCAGTAGTGGAATTCTTCCTTTTTGAGGGCTAATGCCACGTTTTTCGAGATTTTCTTGCCATCCATTTCGACGTAGACGCCGTTACCGATTAAATAGTCTCTGAAGAATCGTAGGATTGGGGGAGGTACGTTCTGGAAGTCTTCTTCTGACCAGTCGGCGAAATCGGGAGAAACTTCGTTCCATAGCTCGAGGCCCGTGAGATTCCTCTTCTCATAGGTCTCAAGTAGGAAACCCATATAGGAACCCAGTTGCTGTGGGCTAGCGTTTGTAAGGTCGATTGCCCAGTTGCCCCATACTGCTGGATCGATCATACTTTCGATTCTCTGTGGGATGGGGACTGTTGATTGGCTTTTGGCAGTGACGCCGCTCGCGGGCGATCCTTCTCGTGAATTTCGCTCCATTCTGACAGTATAAAAGGATTACTTCTGTTCAGAATCTTGAATTCTAATCCTCAACAGCGTCAGCTGCGATTGGTGCAAGATGCAGGCCTGGAAGTGGGAGTCAAAAGACGATTCGGGATATTACGATTCTAAGGGGAAAGAATCGTGAAATCGGGGATTTTCGTCGGTTCGTCGTTTGTTTCCGTCGGCGCCGTTCTCGCTGATGTTCTCGAGGGGTGTGAGGGTATACACAGGTCTCGAATTGGTAGGGAGAGAGTTCTACCGTAGATTCTCTCGTGAATCTCTCTTTCTCGCTTCGGGCTTCGCTCCTCACTGTTGGGAAGTTTAGAATCTAGCGGACAGTTGGCCTTATGACGCCCACAACCACGTGCGTTTCTCCTAAGCCGCAGCCTCGGAGGCGTATACGTATAGCTGTATAGGCGGATTACCGCCGGTAGTCTCCGCTCGCCTTTCGGCGTGTTCTTCTTCTAGTGGGGAGGTCTCTTGTGGCAGGCGCCTCGCGGTTGGCACCTCGTCTGGGGATTTATTGAGAAACTAGCGGGCGCCTCGTGATTGGCACCGCGCGTGGGGGATAGTTGTAGTTGGGGAAGTTGTTATCCCTTGTGGGATTCGTGAATCTTCGCCCTTGTGGCGTGAAGAGGTTGGAGGACCGTCGATTCGGTAGGTCTCTTCTTCTGGTGATTGAAAACGCGTGATGGAACGCTCTTGCCAGCGATAATTGGCTGCGATTAACCTTATCCCGCCCAGGGTGAGCGTAGCAGTCCCTAGGTTACTCGAATAATCGGATTGCTGGTAGATTCGAGGAAAAGAAGCTTTCTTCTGCTGGTTTCCGTAGATCCCAGTTACTCTCGCTTCTTCTCTCGTTAGCACGAAATCCCTACTTTTACCTGGGCTTGGGTATCCAGTTCAAGAAGTCGTCTCTTCTGGTGTTGACCTTGCTGATCTGCGGTTTGTCCGTAGCAGAGTGGTAATTGTGAAGTTAACCAAATTAATGGCAACTGTGAGGTTTACCACTGATCAGTGTAGGTTTCACAGGGGGTGAAACAGGGGGTGAAACGGAATTCCGTTCGTCAATAACAAATAACAGTAAATTGGTTCTAATCGATGGTTCATGATGATAGTTGAAAGTGGTGTTGTTGACTAGAAGGTGGGGATATTCCCCCTTGGCCTGTCACGTGGGTCTGGGAGGCTTGGGCCTCTCAGCCTGGCGGGCGTGTGGCTGGAAGTGCCACACGGCTCCGTATTCCAACTATCGCAACACCTGGACAACTTAAATCTCAAGAAATGGGACGAAGCAAAGAAGTTGCTTCAAACTACGGTAACCTACAATGATCAAAAGACAAGCAATGAGGACTTTGTCGACCACGTTGCTGCGGATATTAAAAAGCGCAACGTTACTCATATCAGACTCGACGGCGTTGCTGTTCACCCTGACGGGAAATCGTTTGGCGGTCGGCAGATCATCAAGACAAGTGACAAAGGTGCACCTAAAGCTGATCCTTGGGCTCTCGTTCTGGTCTTCATTGACGACACGAACAAGATTTCGCGGTTATACAAGATAGACGATCGCCTGATCTCGCAGGGTCCTCCAGCAACGAGCCTATCGGAAATTACATACAAACCATCTGCCAACCCGTTATCATCGGATGATCTGAGAAATTTGTACCTCGAATATATCAATAGCTACAATATCGGCACCATGTCAACTGTCCTTCCTCAAAAGTTGGCTGCCGAAATGGCAATGCAAGGAAATGTGGCCAAGGTGGAACAGGTTGTGATCATCCTCGGGCAGATTCTTTTGCCTGCCGTTGCAGGACTCAAGTACAAAGTTGAAGACATGGTGACCGATGTTGAAAAACAACAGATTTTCGTCAGGCTTTCACTTGAGGGTGTTCCAGAGAACAAGAACCTGCAGAAAGGAGCTGACGAAAAGGGGAGGGTCAAGGTTTATGAGCTTGCGACATATGGAGTGGAAGAGGGCAAGATTGCCTGGGCATGGTCTGCACCAGACTTCGATATTTTGCCTCCTCAATAAAAATAGAAGGAAGTATTGTTTTACGTTATCTAGCTTCAGTTGGTCAACTAGTCTGAGGTTCAGGACTACTCGGAACAGGGCAAGGGAAAAAGGTTTTTTTTTCGATCAAATAGAAAAGAATGCCGACTCTCATGAACCATTACCAGTGACTGGCCAATACAAACCGCAATGAAAGGCGATATTCCTAATGAGAACTGACTGGTGTAAGGAATAGTAGGCATGTTACTAGCATTCAATCTCAAATTTAAAGGAATGTGGTGTGCGTCTGGACTGGCTGGTAAGATGAAGTCAAGCCGGTCAACTAGGTAAGCTCACCTAGTACACTGAATAATTCTTAATATCTTTCCTTGTAGCGATGAGTTTTGTTTGGAATTTGGGTGTCATTCCGCGCCTACTCCTCTTCATCACCCTCCCATCCGTCTTTCAATGCTCCCACGGTTTCAGCCCTGTTGTCGTTGGTCTTGCATCTTTGAGCATGGGGATCGGCTAGTTGACTGGGCTTTTTGTTTTCGGCATCTTAAGCGACCACGCCTCACATTTGTGCGCAAAGTTAGAGGTTCGATCGATAATTGGGCGCCAGCTAGTTATTTATGACCTTGTTCTGCGAGACTTTCCATCTATGCATAAACTTAACACTACCAAGCACAATGACTTCTGCGTGTTATGGAACATCCTTCCTCGGCTTTCACGCCCTATTCGTCATTGAGAGATGTTTTGTAACTTTAAACGGACTGATTAGATGAACTAAAAAAATTGAAAAGAGGCCTGTCTAAATATACCTCGTGCATGTGTTCGGCTCTGCGGCTGTCCTATCTGCTCTCGGTGCGAACATCCCTCACCGTTAACTACCTATTTGGTGCTTTTATCCCTGTAATTGACCCTAAGATGGACGATTCACCTGATATAGCTGGGAAAAACACTATTTCCCGCTTTCGGTCTCTAGCATTCGCCCCTTGACCTATGCCATTTTGCAAGTATAGAGAGGCCGTCAGTCAGCCAGAACTTATCTAACTGTTAGTTAGACCTGACAATTCCTCAATCAAGACTGGGAGGGTTGATCACATTGCGATCCGAGTAGCAGTTAAGTCTTGAAGGTAGTATGTAACCGTCATGTTTTTGAGGTGTGTCCTAGAGGGGCCTGCTTATCCAATAGAGACAAAAGTGCAATTACCTATCACTGGCTAGTTCGTTATCAGATTGAGCAGATTTAGGCCTCCCTACGTAGTAACAGAGTGACAATCGAAGACAGCCTGATTGGCTGTTTTTGAGGCCTTTTACAGCACTACCCTTTCTCCTCCCGCGCATAGATAATAATTAGTAATGCCGACTGTTCCCTTGTACCCGCTTGTATCGCATGCCGTTCTGTTGGGGTTAGGCAGAGTCTGACACCGCCCTATAACCATCTGACATAATCCTCGAAGACCGCAAAATAGGTAGTGTCTGAGATTGACTAACTCCCCTCTGAGCACAAACCAGGCTCTCATTGTTGCCAGCGATGTTGTCGTCGCAAAGCATCTCGGCTGGGTCTGAGCGACACCGACCCCCGCTCAACCGGCGAAGGGATAAACCTCAATTGTCTTGTAACCTCTGCCGCCGCCGCAAGTCAGTAAAGCCCAAGTTCGAAAATGCTTTGAAAATGGGAATACTCACGGGTAATTGAGCCTCACAGACTTCGTTGTGATAGACAGCAACCCTGCCAAACATGCTCCCACCGTGGCCTTCCCTGCACATATGCCAACAATGGACCTGCATCTGCAGGAATTGCCCGGCATAATGCTTCATCACGACCGCAGATGAATTTACAAACTCGACTGTCTCAACTTGAAGACCTAGTGATCTCAATTATGGACAATTCAAGCCCAGCGGATGAAAATTTGCTCTCAAATGATCTTCAAGGAAGCAGCCTAGATCATCCGATATCAAGGGAACTGGCACACAAAGACCAGACCACGCTAATCGATAATTATGAAAACTCCTCCAAGACCCCCGAAAGCGGCAGTATTCGCGTCAGTGCGTCCGAGTCTCGCTATGTTGGGACCGGGCATTGGGCTTCAATCCTGGACAGCATAGCCGAGCTTAAGGATCACTTGGAAGCGGAGGAAGAGACACAGACAAGCAGTGCGGCGTCGGTTTCGTTATCTACTACTGATGACTATATGGAAATGCCGCTGTTATACAATAATAAGCCCATCTCAATAGTTGATATTGTTGGCTCAATCCCCTCTAAGCAGATTGTGGACCGATATATCTCATATTATTTCAATTCATTAGACTTCGCATCCGGTTTGTTGATCAACCCTCAGTCACGTATGGCACTTGTCTGACATTGTTGAAGGCGCGGTTCATACCGGAAAGTTTTTGAGAGAAGTGAGTAACTCATATGTAGTCGCCTACTATGATAGACTGACGCATCTCAGTATGAAAGATTCTGGCAGTCGCCATCTGAGACTCCAGTCATGTGGCTGGGACTACTATATTCAATCATGTGTATGGCAGCCATGGCATCGAATTCGCTAAGTAGATCCGAAACAGATGATCCCACGACATCGATTAACCATTATCGAGAAAAGACTGCACAATGCTTGCTTATGGGGAGATATGCCAACGGTGGCCCCTATACATGGGAGACTCTTTACCAATATGTCATCATCGAGCTGTCTTCGCGAAGAGATGTCGCCTCGAGCATCGGTATTCTTCACGGAATAGCAATGAATCTTATCCTTCAAATGGGCTATCACAGAGACCCATCTCATTTCCCCAGTATCTCACCCTTTGACGGGGAGATTCGGCGCAGAAGCTGGGTCAAGTCGATAGAGGGCGATCTGCAGATGGCTATGAGGACAGGCATGCCCCGTAGGATCGTCGACGGCCACTGGGATACTGAGGAGCCGCGCAACCTTCATGATTCCGACTTTGACGAGGATTCAAAAGAACTTCCTCCCAGCAGACCCGAGTCTGAGATGACAATTGTTCTACAGCTCATTGGAAGACGCCGCATGCTCGTCGCTGTTGGCGCTGCAGTCGATCTGTCCACTTCTGTAAAGCCGGTACCTTACTCCGAAGTGCTTGCGGTGGATCGCAAAATACAAGAGGCAGAAGAGAGCCTTCCTGCGCCGCTGAAAATAAGGTCTCTAGAGGCGTCCATCACGGATCCACCGCAGTTGATATTCCAAAGATTTTACCTCGCCCTTATGTTCCGTACAGGCGAGTTGATGATCCATCGCAAGTATCTAAGTGTCGATACGGAGAAGGACAGTTTTTCCTACTCTCGTAAAAAATGCCTTGATGCCTGCTTGTCGATCCTGACCATTCAGCATACCCTTGGCGAAGAGACTGCTGTCGGCGGTTTGTTGCACCCAGTGAGCTCTAGGTTGTACTTAACGGGCAACCACTATTTCCTCACAGCTTGCATGACGCTCTGTGTCGTAGTACATAGAGGACTAAGTTCAGCCGGGAATGATCATGCTCAAGCTCGGGAAGAAGATATCAAAAACGCACTAAAGAAGTCTCTCAATGCTTGGAGGCAGCGCGAATCTACGTCGAGGGAGGCCCATATTGCTGCAGAATCTATCAGCCATATACTCAAGAAAAGCGTTTGGATGGAGGAAGTACCTCCGAGCGCAGAGCAGCCATCTTTATGGGATAATGTGACCGAACCCGAACTCTTTGGAGGTTTGTTATGGCCTGAAGCGGACACATTTATCGATGCCCCATTTACCATGTACGGCAACGAATGGGATGGAGGGATATTTTCTTGGTTTGCAGATTCTTCAAGAGGTGGCATCTGACTCAATGATTATCAGGCTATGCCTCATGGATATGGTGGTACAATAGAGTAAAATGATGATACTTGAGGCAGCTGAGCTAAGCTTTTGTTTTTAGGTTAGAGGCGGCTTAGCGTCTCGAAAGCAATAAAGAGGAAGTAAAAGCACATATTCTGTGACGCCTGGAAGTGTTCTCTGCAGATCTTTGAGTAGTTCGTGGCAGCATTGCATATCCTGCAATATAGAGATTGAACTCTTTGAGCATGAAATGTGTGACGTTCTCACCTCTCTGCAATTTACGTTGTAATTATCCCAACATCAGTAATTTTCTTCACATTTAGTTCTGTCTAGAAGTTTCTGGTTAGTTCCACATGGTATTCTGACTTATTCGAATGTTATCATGCATGGTGGCATATTTCGTAGACTTATTGGGGTGGCTTATTTATTGTATAACCCTAACCCCGAGAAGTTAATTTCGCCTTCTTATTGTAAGAAACATTTGACAACTTTTTCTCACATATCAGACACAGCTTGGGCAGCGTACGGGAAGATACAAGCATTGTGGTCTAATGCTGAAGGATAGAGACGACAGCACCAAATAGAAACTCGCCATAAGAAAACTACAATATCTTAAAAAAGCAGTGGCTGAGGCTTCATTCTCAGTTCCAGAGATCCCTGACTTTGACCTGGAAAGAGAGACAGCCACTCTCCCCACATACAGACAATGTCCTGGTTGGGACGTGCCTTGGTCCCACTAGGGAACACATATCGCTTCAATACAATGCCAATTGATCTGTTGGCGCTAAATGCGGGTGGTTTGATGGCTTGCATGCAGTTTCATCTCGCGTAGCTGAATTCGGACAACACAGGAGCTTCCCATAGGCACAGATTTATTTTCTATAACGGAGTACCTTCCTAGTTCAACAGTACGCGGACATGAAGTAATGGGCTGATTTTTGCATTGTCACGACCTGGACTTCGAGCCCTTGCTCGTCAACAGACCGGGGAAAGCGAAGCGGACCGGGGTGATTGGCTTCGGATGCAACGCAAACAGAATGTGCCACTGAAAGAGCCCCGCTGTTGGACCATGGCGAACCGTTGATTAGCTCCGGTCCCTGCATGCCTGCGAGTTTTCTCCAACAGATCTGTGAAATGGAACGTTTGGTTGCATATCATATGCTTCCTTGCACCAACAGAACCAAACAATGGACCGCTGGGCAACGAAAAGTGGCTGAACATAACAGAAATAGGGACGAGTATTAAAACCCTTGCTTGTCCAGAGCCATTTCTCCTCTCGAACCCCTCTTTACTAGCACCTCCAGTTCAGAGTATTACTCATGCCAGATCACCAGTACTTCTGGACGAGTACAGCATAATCTTCAAGATGGCCGACTCCTCGACCAACCCGCCAGCCCCAGTTTCCCCTTCCAGATTGGAAACAGCCGCACCTGTAGTGGAAGCGTCCGATGAGCCCGCTGCACTGGCTGCGATTGAGGCTGATGACACAGATAGTGTTGGTCCCATCTCAACCCTCTGAGGTTGCTCCGCTGATGAAGCTAATCAACCTAATAGCTCGCTGATACCACCTCCACCATAGATGAACGAATGTAAGAACATTTCATGAATTTACAGTTGATCACTCATCGCTAATCATCCAGCTCGACCTACACGGCATCGCTGAGCTCCAGCGTCGTTGATTATCCCACCGAGAACGGTCGGCGGTACCATGCCTTCCGAGCGGGAAGTGAGTAACTGAACAAACTATGCAGAACTGTCCTGCTTCATCGTTGTATGTATTTCAGTCCATCACTGACTGAGAAATAGATTATTTGGCACCGAACGATGAGGTAACATTAGCGTGATTGCTTAAAACGAAGTATTTAACTTGCTGACACCTTCAAATGGTAGAGCGAAATGGACCGGTTGGACTTCAACCATATGCTGATCTTGAAGACTATTGGCAAGGGAGAAAAGTTATTCTTGGCTCCAGTCCCGCAAGAGACTACCCACCGAATTCTTGACATTGGTACAGGGACCGGTATTTGTAAGAGACACGAACTTTCACATTGTTGTTTGGTCACCTGACATGTTGCAGGGGCTATCGAGGCCGCAGATCTGTTTCCTAATGCTGAGGTTTGTAAAATCATAGCTGTTGATTTCATTCATGTTCAATTGAAGCTAAAGTTTTGTACAGGTTGTGGGAAACGATTTGAGTGCCATACAGCCAGAGTGGTAAAAGCTTCCCGATTCTTTCCAAAACGCTATTGAGCCATGTCATGCATTGTACTCATATAAAACAGGGTTCCACCTAACGTCAAGTTCGAGATTGACGATGTCGAGAGCGAATGGTTGAATAACGAGAAATATGATTTCATTCTCAGTCGATACATGGCTGGATCCATCGCAGACTGGCCGAAGCTGATAAAAAATATCTACGAGTGCGCACAAGAATTCTCTATTCACGATTGGGGAAGTGTTAACAAGTATCTAGTAACCTCAACCCCGACGGCTGGGTTGAGTTTCAAGACTATGATATCACGTACCATACGGATGACGGTACCTTTACAGACAAGCACAAGACCCACAAGTGGATAACAACTTTGATGCAAGCCTGCAGGTTAGTTGGCCGCAACCCGTGCCCTGGGCCTGAAATTGAGGGCTGGGTCAAGGAAGCTGGTTTTGTCGACGTCGTTCATCAGAGCTTCAAGATGCCTTTGGGTCCTTGGGCGAAAGACCCCCACCTCAAGGATGTTGGTATGGCGAATTTGATCCAATGCTTGGATGGACTGGAAGGCTTTAGTCTGAGGGCGTTCACAACCATCATGGGATGGACGAAAGAGGAGGTTCTAGTGCTGCTTGCTGAGGTCCGCCGGGAACTGAAGTCTCAAGCTTTCCATGCCTACTGCAACATGTAAGTGTACTCCCTATGGGTGCTTGATCCCGGAGGACACATGCTAATGAAGATTGTTTAGCCACGTGGTCTACGCGCAGAAGCCCAAGGACGAGGAAGACTAGGGAATGGAATATTACGGAAGTATTGATGAAAGACTGATAGGACACATGCAAACACCAACGTATCAATTGCGAGGTAGAAGATTCATCCTAGCTACCAAAGCATATATCTGTTCGCGAATGTCCTGTTGCGATAGTTGGAATACGGAGTCGTGTGGCACTTCCAGCCACACGCCCGCCAGGCTGAGAGGCCCAAGCCTCCCAGACCCACGTGACAGGCCAAGGGGGAATATCCCCACCTTCTAGTCAACAATATGTTACGACCCGTTGGACATGGTCGCCAACACGACCCCGCCTGGATCCCGGCGGCTAACGCAGGGCATATGTAACCCAGCCGGACAGGTGTAACCAGGGATCCTCGGAACGGAAGAACTATGGACAAGTCACGTGGCCTCGGGGATAACGCGGGGTAAGGACAACCCGGGCTGGATATGTTGGATATGTCAGATATCCAACCGATCCCCGGATATGTTGGATATGTCAAATATCCAACATAGCCAAGATAAGGAGGACCGTTCAGGACTTGTATATAGGATGGACTCGAGCCGGGCTCGAGGACAGACTTCCATAGCTCTTCAGCAATCAACTTTGTGATTACCCTAACCGGTACTTTCAGCTATACCTAAGTGACGACTACTCTACGACTCTTGTTGAGGCCTTGACTGATCACCAAGACCTTTGAAGATCTACGATCTATTCGACCAGGACCACGGAACGACTGTTACTACTCTCAATCCCTGGCTTACTGTTAACACAAACCCACTGTCAGTTAGCTGGCCGTAACATTAATCAGGTTAGGGGATTTGCGAATTTATTTATCTTTACTATTACTTCCTACTATTATAACTATTAGTAGCTAATAGAGAAGAATTAGAATTGTTACGGGGTTTTAGCTAGGAATAGTTATAATAGTAATAAATATCGTATTTTTCTAAAGCTAATTCTTAATCCTCTAGATCAAGAGTCTAGAGCTAGAACCTGTCTTTTATCTAGGTGTTATGCCTTGCTAGGTGAAATATATATGTTAACCTTCTTAGTATAGCGCCCTATAGCGCTTCTAGTAGTATAGCGCCTTATAGCTCTTTGCCTTGTTATATTTACTTAGTTTAATAAGAAAAGGTATTAGAATGTATAAATCTTTTAATCTCGTATCGTTAACAAAGTTAAGGGTAAAATAACTAAACCTTATAAGAAATCGAGACTTATAATATAGGGTTATGCCGACGATAGTAAGAAGGCTATATTAACCTAATCGCTAACGATTTAGCAAGCAAGTTAATAGCTAATTCTATTAATTACCCTGTTACTCCTACGAGAAGGGAAATAACTATAGCTTTAAGATATTATATAAGCCTACGTTTAATCCTTTATAAGGCTTAATCGTACTATTCTCGCCTACCTACTAAAGCAAATTCAAGACTAGTACCTAAAAGGGACTATTATAAAGGTTATAAAGCCTCTATACGGAATCGCAGAAGCTAGAACCTACTAGTAGGCAACGTATTATAAGCATTATAGAGAGAATCTCTAGATAGTTACTTCTTCGTACGATCTATGCTTATTAATCTTATCTACCGAAAATCTATACTTTAGCTATATCGGTATATAAACCGACGATACCCTCGGTTTATTAGATAAGGCGTTCTTATAATTAGAAGACGAATAGTTAGAAAAAGCAGCTTTTATAGTAAAAGCAAAGAATATCCTTATAATTAACAAACCTTTCTAATTTAATAGAGGGATAGTCGCGCTATTAACTAATAATTCGATTAATTTAAGGCAAAAGGGATAAGCTAAGAAGTTACTATAACAAGGCAAAGAGCTATAGGGCGTTATACTACTAGAAGCGCTATAAGGCGCTATACTAAGAAGGTTAATATATATGTTTTACCTAGTAGGGCATAATACCTAGATAAAAGACAGGTTCTAGCTTTAGACTCTTGATCTAGAGGATTAAGAATTAGCTTTAGAAAAATACGATATTTATTACTATTATAACTATTTGTTAGAAGTATAAGTATATTATACTTCTATTTTACTTATTTATCCTATTTAGTCTTATCTAAGACTTAGTAGGACTTACAAAAGTAACTAGCTAAGAATGGCTGCTTGCTAGTTTAAACATATGACATTCAGATCCCTATGGAATACTCTCTTTAACCTTATCTAAAAGTCTATTTAGTTAAAGAAGATTCTAGTCTGATTTATAAGCTGCTTTATAAGCTAGTTGACGTATATACTTACGTATACTAAACCTAGCTTATAGCTTCCTATATTAGCTATTATAGGCGACGTTATACTACTATATAACTAGCCTAATTCTCTCCCTTAGCTAGCTATTAGTTCCTCAACCAACTCAGCTTCAATATAAGCCTATACATTCTTTACTATTAAAGCCCTACTTCATAAGTACAAGTTCCCTTACTCTAATACCCTGTTATAAGGATATCGTACTATCTACGAGATTCCTACCTACCGTTCCAACACTATTCCTAGCTAAAACCCCGTAATAATTCTGATTCTTCTCTATTAGCTACTAATAGTTATAATAGTAGGAAGTAGTAGTAAAGATAAACGAATTCGCAAATCCCCTAACCCGATTAACCCTCCTAACGAACCAGCGAGTTAAGAGAATAGTAGCTATACTTAGCTAAGAGAGGTTGATTATACTACTCTTCTAGAGCGAATCGCCTAACTTGAGACATCTTTATCTTAAACTAAACGCTAAAACGATCTATTAGAGTAGCTCTAGCAGATATTATTAGTACGACTAAAACAGAGTCTTACCTCTAGCGAAAGGGGAGATATCAAGGTTAAGAATATCGAAGTATTTACGCTGAAAACTAGCTACCGAAAGCATACCGAATAGCTTTAAGATTTAGAACAAGCCTATGAGGGAGCTTTTAAAAGATATAAAACCGATATTAAAAAGATAGTCCTAGCACTAGACTATATGGATGCCGACTGCCGAGCGAGATAGTACCTATATAAGGATAATTTAGATAAGGAATACTAGCTAAACGCCTGGGAATATCTATACTTTGTTTATTAGACGAAAATACTTGTTAGAGATACTTAATTCCGGGAACCCTAAATTATAAAACAACTAGTTACTATAAGATAGCGATTAGATCAAGAGCTATAAGACTTTCATGCTTATTTACAGTCTTTTAAGAAGGAATTTACCCCTCGTCTAGAAAAAGAAAGTGCCTTAGAATTTTATGCTAAGTTGACTAATGAATTACGGAAGTATATATAGACTAATACTACTAACCTCCCTACTACGCGAGAGGCTATAGTAGCTATGTCTACCCGATATTAGGGTGTTATCCAACCGAACCCTAAGCGAAAGCGCGATGATAAACAAGATAGTAAACTAGGAAGGGTTAAGAGACAAGCTCGAAATCTTACTTCCTCCTCTCCTTAGTCGAGTCTTAAAAAAGGAGGGAAAAACGGCGTTAACTATACTACTAGTAAACTACGCCTTTATTATATCTACGGTAGTCCAGACTATTTATCTAATATTTATACTAAATCCTTAAAGGAGGATAGAGAGAAAATAAAAGGAAAAACGGGGGTTTAGTAAGCGACTACTAATACTAACACCTCTGCTTCGGGAAAAGGCAAGGGGAAGGAGTAACTCCCTATCCTCCTTCCTAGCTTATAGTAGGGACTACTTAACGATTCTATACCTCTGCTAAAGTTAGAGGAAACCGAGTAATAGTATCTACTAATATTGATTTTAATTCGGAAGCCGAGTACGATTTAGTTTCGTATACCTTTATATAGTAGTAAAGACTAAATCAAGCTAAGCTAACCCTTCTAATCCTATCTATACTAAGGCAAAGTACTATCCCTACCTATAAGGTCTTTTAGGTTCTACTTATCCTTACCGATTCGCGAGGAACTTGTCGGTCGTTTACTCGTTCCTATATAGCAATTAACCGCGACCCTCGACCTAAGGGAAGCCTTATATTGCTTTTAATAACTACTATCAAGTACTATAACATTTTCCTAGGGGGAAAAAACCGTATATAGTAGTTTAAATATTTATAAAGGAAATAAGAGAAGTGCCGAGCCTCTTGCTTTGTAAAAAAGGCTATTCGAGAGAAGGTGTAGGTTTTCGCTATTATATAGCTCCCCGAACCATAACCTCTCCCGGATAAAGAGGAAGAAGAGCCTACGATTAAGATTATAGCTATCCCCCCGGAACTACGTTCGTTTATTAACGTTCTTATACCTAAGAATGCTAAGAATCTCCTTATTTTCAAAGCCTTAGACTATTTTATTAACATAGAGGAGGGAAAGTCCCCCCCTTAGGGTCTTATCTACCCCCTATTACCTAAGGAGCTAGAGGAACTACGTAGTTACCTCGAAGAGAATCTCTAAGCAGGACGTATTCGTCTATCAAAGAGCCTGGCTAAGGCCCTTATTATCTTCGTCCCGAAGAAGGATAGTTCCTTACGACTTTGCGTTGATTACCGAAGGCTAAATCGTATTACGGTTAAGAATCGCTACCCTCTCCCCTTGATTTCGGAGATCCTTAACCGGATTACTAGTACCTAATATTTTTCAAAGATCGACGTTAAAGATATATACTATCGCATACGTATTAAAGAAGGAGATAAATAGAAAACCGCGTTTCGGACCCGTTATAGTTTATATAAGTTTTACATTCTCCCTATAGGTTTAACTAACGTACCTACTACTTTCTAAGCATATATTAATAATGCTTTAGAAGGCTTAGTAGATACTATCTATATCGTTTATCTAGACGATATTCTAGTCTTTTCTAAGACTAAAGAAGAATATATAAACTATTTATACTAAGTCTTATAACGCATATAAGAAGCTGCCTTATACGCTAAACTATCGAAATATACCTTTTACTAACGACAAGTTAAGTTTTTAGGGTATATTCTATCTATAGAGGGAATCTTTATAAACCCCCGTAAGGTTAAGGCAATCGCCTAATAGCTAGAGCCGACAACCTTCCGAGAAGT